ATCATCATATAGATTCTGATCTATATAATATTGAGTATAGAATCAGATCTTGTAATTAGTTAAATTAGTAATGTATAGGGATTAGTAAAGTTAGTATATACAAGTGAAACAAAGTCTCAGATTAATGTATTATTAGAAAAAATGATTTGATATAGAGTATACCAATAAATCCCAAATATAAGAAGGTATACTAACTAATGAATCAAAATAAAAATGATTTATTAGTCTTGTGATGTGAGATCATAATGAGAATTATAGAAGAAAATTTAATTATAAATAAGAAATAGAGAATAGAATTAACAAGAATGAATTAAATTCAATAGAACTATAAAATCATTCACCATTATAATAAAAGTTTTTATTAAATAAAATAAAGATTACTATTATAAATATTTCTTTAAATTATTATTGATCTATTCTCACACTCTCTATTAACAAAGTAGTCTATCCTAAGACTACAAATATCAAATAACAAAAATATCAACAAATTATCTTCTTAGACAGGAACTAGTACTATCACTTGGAGAACCTGATTAACTCAATAAGAGGTCAGAGTATTGATCAATAAAATTATAAATTAATTAATGAAAAATTAATACAATCTCATAGATAACTTGGTAGATTCCTTATATTTATTTTACTAGATAACAGTTTTTGATCTGGCAAGTCAGATAAACAGATAAAGAGAAAAGAAAGAGATTAATAATAAATTAAAATAAAGAAAGTATTTGAGAAATTATAGTTTTTGCTTGAATTAAAAACAAATAAACAACTCTTATCTTCAATAATGTCAATCTCCTCACAAGATCAAATATATTCTGAGGAATAGCAATCATCTATAAATCAGATCTTAATTCAAAATAATGAAAAGAAATCAGCAATAACTGAAGAACTAAATAGAGAAGAAATAAAATTAGCTAACATAATGATACTGATACTAAGCCAATATAAAAAGAGAAAGATGAAGAAATTGTACCATGTTGAATTTTTAACTTTTGATAGAAAAGAAAAGAGCAATCCAATTTAATAACTAGAGGATTTCAAAGCTATCTGTAAGATCAATAATATAGAAAAGACAAGAAAAATCCAGATAGTAGTCTCATATTTAAAGGACCTTATATAATATTAGTTCCAGAAATGGCAACAATAATCAACTATCAAGCTCTCCAATTAAAATGAAGATGATGATATTTCATTTATAACATACTTTCATCAAAAATTTTATACTAAAATGAAAATATTTTATTGGCACAAAGAGCTTTAATATGAAAATAAGAAAAGAATGAATTCTTGAAAGTTTATTTTACTATGATATCTGAGTTATAGAGAAGAATAACAATAGATAATGATAAGAAGAAGTTAGTTTCTCTTATAATTTGAAGATTAAAAGAAGAAACTCATTCTCTAGTAACTATCACGTATCTGAAGACTGTGAATGAAGCTCTTAAAATTGTCAAGATGATATTCATAATCCAGGTAGTAACATATCAAAGTCAAGATAAGTGATATAAAACTAGTTCATATTATTACTGGATGACCAATTTGGAATCTGAAGTAGTCCAACTCTACAGAAAAATAAAAGAATTAGAAAGAAGATTGGATAAATAGAATAAAAATAAATCAAAGATACGTAAATATACTGAAAGAAATTATGATACTTAAAACTCAAATTCTGAGACTTCAAAGTATTACGCTTGCAAAAAAATGGGCTATATCACCCAAAATTATAGAACAAAGAATCTCTCACAATTGAAGACAATGGCAATGCTAACAAAGATATGAATAGAGGAAAAAGCAAAGCTCCCTAATTTGGATGAGTAAGATCAAAAGTCTCTGACAATTAAAAACTGATCCATCTACAAAGAAGAGCTAGAAGAAATTCTTAAATTAAAAGAAGAAAAGGTTAAACTATACATGACTCAAACAAAAGAACAAATAGTAAATATCTTTGGATAGCTGCTCTAAAAAGAAGGAAGAGTGACCAAAAATCCAGAAGACCATAATATAGTAACTACAGACAGACAATCAAAAAATATTGATATAGTATATTATATCACGAAGATTAATAAAACTTCTACTTACATGATAATCAATACAGGAGCCTCAAGATGTATAGTAATGAAGAAATTCTTGGATAAAATTGGTCAAAGTATTAACTGTTTTACAAAAATCTCAATGAAGAGGATTAGTAATAAGGTAAAAATAATATTAGGAGAGATAACTGATCTTTTCATCAACTTGAATTTTGATATTCTTCCAATAGATGCTGTAGTCACCAAAGCCAGAAGATATTCAATTCTCATCAGAACTGATTGACTAAAAGTCAATAAAGTGATTGTTGACCTAAAAGAAGACAAGTTAATAATGGAAAGAGGTAATAAAATATATAAGATTCCAATTCTATATCAGAAAAACTCATCTTTACCTATATCAAATTAATTGGAGTATCATGTGATGAATATCTTAGAGAAAAGGGCAGAAAATTATTATATGCTCAAGTATGAAGCAGATGACAACTTTTTTACAGCTTGAATGAAAAAAGATACAGTTAAGAACTCTAAAAATAGCTAGAAATTCCAAAATGGGTGTTATCCAATGAATTACCATGAATTCTTGAAGCAAAAGTTTGAGAATATAGAAGGTTGGTCATGAACAGAACTGGATAAGTGATGCTGATACAAGAACTAGCTAGAATTCATCTTCGACATATGTAGAGAATGTAATACTAACTATAAGAATTTTCTTAAGCTGAAAATTCTATCAGAAGAAGTTCTAGAAGAAAATTTTAGTAGGATATCAAATGAATTGGATGACAGACTCATCTCAGATCAGTAATATCAATTATGGCAGCTCATTGAGGACAATCAGGAAGTATTTGTATATAATTCAAAGAAATTAGGACAAATATCAGTGATCAAGCATCAAATTAAAATAGAATATAAAAAACTGATAAAACAATGACCATACCATGTCTCCCAGCCTGAAAATGCTTATATTAGAGAAAAAATTGAATAGATACTTAAGAAAGATATCATTTGGAAATTAAATAGTCTCTGGATGTTTCTGATTATTCTAGTAGAAAAGAAAAATAGAAAGAGATAATTTTGTGTGAACTTTTGAAAAATAAACAAAATAATAAAAAAAGATAGATATTTGCTTTCAAGAATTGATAATATTTTTGATAATCTTGGATGGGTAAAATTCTTCTTAACTCTTGATTTTGCATCCAGATACTGGCAAATTAAGATCTATAAAGAAGATAAGGAGAAAATGATATTCGTTACAAAGTAGAACTTGTTCAAATTTAATGTAATACCCTTCACACTTACAAATATACCTGCAACTTTTCAGCAAATGATGAACACTATCTTCTTGAAATATTATCATAAATTTTTGAAAGTTTCGAAGAATATCTGAAATATTTACAATTAGTTTTTAACAAACTAAGAAAGGTTGAACTAAAATTAAATCCTGATAAATATTATTTCTGCCAAAAAGAGCTACTATTTCTTGGTTATCAAATTAGTACTGACAGAATTGCTTCTGACAAAGCAAAGATTGAAAAAGTAAAGAACTTTCTAATCCTAAATAATATCTTAGAGCTTTGGAGATTCATAGGACTTACCAGCTATTATTGACAATTTATTAAAAACTTTGCCCAAATTATCGTACCTCTATATGAATTAATAAAGAAAAATATTAATTATATCTAGAGATTAAGACAATAGGAAGCATTTGATGAGTTAAAAATATAACTTATCTCAGCACCAATCTTGATATACCTAAATTTTGAATGACTATTCATGCTATTTACAGATACTTTGGTAGTTGGATTAGATGCTATTCTATCTCAATTAGACAAAAATGGAAAAGAATATGTTATTGCGTATGCAAGTAGGAATATCTATTCTATAAAGAAAAACTATAGTATTATTAATCTTGAGTATTTAGCTGTGGTGTGAATAGTTTAGTAATTTCATCAATACTTACATGAGAAAATATTTGAAGTGATTATGGATCATTCAGTTATCAATTGAGTACTTCATTCCATCAAGTTATCATTATGAACTGCTTGCTAGATCAATATTCTCTAATGTTATCAATATAAAATTACTCACAAGCCTGGTAAAAAATATTTCAACATTGATCCTCTATCATGAATCTTTATAAAAGATAAAAAGAATTAGCTACAAATCTTTATTGATAAAAAGAAAGAGACAAAAATCTATGAAAATCTATCTGGAAGATGTGGGATAGGATTTATATTTGCTTATCAACATAATCATCCCTTCAAATAGATTAGGAATAATAGACTTGGGAATTGCCATCAGGATTCCTTCAGAAAGCATAAGAGTAATTATGGACTGATCTTCTTGGGCTAGCATCAGTTTATGCATTAAAGAAGACGTAATCAATGTAGACTATACTGGTAACCTAAAGATCCTGCTGAGAAACAAGTCAGATCAAGTGATAAAAATCCAAAAGGGGGACTATGTTGCACAGTTAGTAATCCTGCCAATTATTTAATCCAAGAATACCAAATTGGTAATAGATCAGAATCTGTTAGGAGGTGGAGAAAGAAAACAAAAGAGATTTGGCTCCAGCAACTTGAAGTTATCCTCAACAAACAAATTCCAAATGACCCAGAAGTAGAAAAATCCTACCAACAGACAATCAACTTGTATCACCAACTAGGATAACCTCTTTCAGATTACTCTTTTTGATATTAATCCAGCACTAATAACTTTCTAACAGCGACAAACTTGGATACAATAACTGACAACAAATCTCTATAAGCAAAGAAAATTTTAAATAAATAAAATTTAAATTAAAATATATATATATTATAAGAAAAATTTAATTTCGAAAAGGAAGAAAAGAACAACTACTACCAATATACCACGATAGATCCGATTACCTATGATGAAATCTATCAGGTCCTTGACACAGATGAATTTAGAATAGACCTGACACCCGCAGCTCAAAAATGAATAAAAAAGATGGCGAAAAATTTCCAAGTAATTAACAATAAACTCTATAAAAAGAAGGGAAGAAATGACCAAGAATTTAGGAGAGTAATTATCTTAGACAAAAAAGAAACCATTCTCTACAACTACCATACCGATATCCTTGCAGGACACTTTGAAATCGACGTGATATTTAACAGGATTTTCATCAAATATTACTGGAATGGAATGTACCTGGATGTTTACGACTATATATGATCTTGCAACGTATGTCAGAAAAGAGGACCATGATAAATCAATGAGATATTGTATCCAATTGAAGTAGGGGAGACATTTGAAAAATTTGGTGTAGATTTAGCAGGCCCACTCTCTAGATTAAAAAATGGGAATAGGTATATTATAGTTGTAACGGATTACCTGACAAAGTGGCCAGAGGCAAAGGTCATCCCTGATGCGTCTGCAGCAGTCGCTGCCAATTTTCTTTTTCATAATATTTATTATCATTATGGATTTCCCAGAGAAATTGTATCAGATCGAGGCACAACTTTCTTGAATATAGTGATAAGAACAATGATGATGACATATAGGATTAAACACTGATTATCATCCCCATACCATCCACAAGCGAATGGACTGATGAAAAGGTTTAATCGAACTCTTTGTAATGCATTAGAGAAATTTATTAATGAAGATAGAGATGATTGGAATGACAAGATCGATCTGATCTTGTTCACCTATAGGACTATATGACAAGAAACAACTAAATTTTCACCTTACCTTTTGGCTTTTGGAAAAACCACCACGATGCCAATCAATCTTCAGTTTGGCCTAGATCGGATGATGGAGGGGATATCACAAGATCCAGAAAAAAACCATCTCCTGTGACAATCTTACAAAATATCAGAAAAGTTAGAAGAGATAAGGAGAAAAGCAAAAGAAAACATAGAACAATCTCAAAGAAAGCAAGTAGAACGAAGTAAAATATCTCATTTTGTCCAACAATTCCGTGTCGGCGACAACATCCTACTACATCAAATGCAATTGGAGAACCAGCGAAATGCGAAGTTTAAGAAATGCTAGCTAGAACTATTCCAAATTCACAGTATTCTAGGAAATGGCGCCTACAAATTACGGATGCCAGACGGTCAAATTCTCTGTCATGAAGTCCATGGAAACAGACTAAAAAAATATTATGAACCTGATAAGCCAGTAGAAATTACGGTTGCCACGATGTCAGAGAGAGCCCTGTACTAGAAAAATAAAGGAACAATTAGTAAATTAACAGTAGAACTGTCATTTTGCGAAGAGGAAAAATGATACACTGTAGCATGAAATTGGACTACATCATCATGTAGATCCCGATTCGCGTGATATTGAGCACGGGATCAGATCTCATAATTAGTAAAATTAGTAATGTATAGGGGTTAGTGAAGTTAGTATATACAAGCGAAACAAAGCCTCAGATTGATGTATTGTTGGGAAAGATGGTCTGATATGGAGTGCACCAATAAATCCTGAATATAGGAAGGTGTACTGACTAATGAATCAAAATAAAAATGATTCATTAGTCTTGTGACGTGGGATCGCGATGAGAATTGTGGGAGGAAATTTGATTATAAATAAGGAGTAGAGAATAGAATTAACAAGAACGAATTAAGTTCAATAGAACTATAAAATCATTCGCCATTATAATAAAAGTTTTTATTAAATAAAATAAAGATTACTATTATAAACATTCCTTCGAATTATTATTGATCTATTCCCACACTCTCTATTAACAAAGTAGTCTATCCTAAGGCTACGAATACCAAATAACAAAAATATCGACAAATTGTCTTCTTAGGCAGGAACTAGTACCATCGCTTGGAGAACCCGATCAACTCGATAAGGGGTCGGAGTATTGATCGATAAAATTATAAATTAATTAACGAAAAATTAATACAGTCTCACGGATAACTCGGTAGATCCCCCACATTTATTCCACCGGGTAACAGTGTACATGTAGATCATTATGCATGTATATACTATGCGCATATACGTACTATGCGCATAGTACGCATAGTGATGAACTATGCGCGCATTTGCCCATCTCTAATCACGAAATGTCTTATTATTAAAGATGATTATTGAATTTTTTACAAGTGAGCAAATTATAATTCAACTCACACGTCATCCATTATTAAAATATTCTTCAATTTACCTTAAAGATATTTATTGTATATTTAAATTTCTTTGCTTGAGTATTGAATAGACGTTGTTTGAATCTAATTGTATGATAATAACTTAGAATTTAGGTTGACTAAAGAATTGAAAATGGAACAAGGATTGCGAGCTAGATTGAATAATTTACACAAAATGGGGTTACTAAGGTTCTAAAGGTCTCTTATGCCAACCTTTCACAGAAGATTATGCAACCAAGGGTAAAGGTAAAGTATAATAAAAAATATAAATTCAAAACAATAAAAATTTATTAACACATTTAAAGAATATTTAACTCAATAACAAAAATAGATTTAATTTTAAACAATAATAAAAATATAATCAAAAGAGCCACAATGTATGTATTAACGTTTAAGGCCAAGAAATAAGGAATTTCACATTACGCCAGAATTTCCGTAATCCACGAGATTATTCGTTACAACGGCAACACTATGATCATTATAATTACACTTTGTTATTAATATATCTTCCTTTACAAAAAATTGTTTTAGGCTTCGATGACAGATTACCCTTCATATCCAAAATCTATCGGCGCTCTGCAAAATGCTCAAATAACAGCCTTTAATTCTTACCGAACCTTACAAAGTTTTTTCAATTCTGTCACTGATGTTGGATGACTTCCCATAAACCGGACTATCCCGTGGTTATACAACGTAGATGGATGCTCTCTTCGTTCTTGCTGCACCCCGTCAACTGTCAACTCAATTTGGAGATTTGCAAGTCACTGACAGTCTATTCAATTGATTAATCAGAGAACGGAACAACTGAGAACCTGGCGTTATCATGTCGAGTCTGGATCAGAGACATATGTAATAACTCTGATGGGCCAAATAACTCTATTATTGAGCCACAGCATTGGATCCAATTTCTCAACACTGATTTTTGGTTATAGTGGTATATATAAACCATTAATGCCTAAATAACAATCTTTTCTAAAAAAAACCAATATTAGTTTTTGGATCGCAAATTTGGAACTAACCTCCTCGTGGTGCGATCTGGATATCATTCAATTGATTACTAATAAGCTCCAATATCTAAAACCCGAATAAGGAGCAAATCGTAAGAGTAAATACCTAAAGATGAAGCAATCATGTTGCATTTACCTTGTCCTTTTTAGGTTGAACGAATCAGATCCCGGGTGATTTATACGTTACAAATTTCAGTTTATAAAAACGTGAATTAATTACGTAATGATACACACACGAGTTTGTCTCACATAGAATTTGAATCACTACATGGGTCCCGTAACTGTACAACGACAACGATTATCGTTTGTTTTATTACAATTCACTCATTTTATTCCATGGACTCAAAGATGGAATCAAATACTCATCATTGTAATGAATGTCAGCGTTGTCAAAAGAATAGATACTGCAATAAGTGTTTAGTTCATATTACTCATGATTGTAGTAAATGTGGATATTGTCAAAAAAATGAGAACTGCCATGACTGTTTCGAATATCACAAACGAATTTATAACGATGAATTGTCTAGCGGAGATAAAGATATCGACAATCTAATAAAAGAATGCAATAAAAATAATCGTGAATATTCAAATATATTCGAATGGATTCCTTTTGAAAAGTTTACCAACGTTGAATACCTTGCAAAAGGAGGTTTTGGGTCCATTTATAAAGCAACCTGGTTGGATGGACCATTAGCTTACTATCCCAAATGGGATCATGAAGAAAATAAATTTGAACGAAAAGGAGAAAGAAAAGTTGTGCTGAAATTATTGCACAATTCAAAGCAAATTACTCCAGAGATTATGAACGAGGTAAAAAATGAATACTTTTTAATGTAAAGTTGCTTTTTGTTTGCTAATACAATTAGATTTTTCAAAAATAGATCCAAACTGGGCTTGAATGCTATTATTACGGCAACTTGATAGGATATTATGGAATGACTAAAAATCCAGTTATAAACGATTACATGATAGTAATGACTTATGGATTCTATGGTGAACTTCACAAACATCAAGTGAACTCAAAGATGGAATCAAATACTCATGATTGTAATAAATGTGATGACTGTCAAGAGAATGAACAATGCGATGAGTGGAATAGTTACTGCGATAAGTGTTTAGTTCACTATACACATGATTGTAGTAAATGTTGTAATTGTCAAAGTGATAATTACTGCGATGACTGTTTCAAGTATCACAAACGAATATATAACGATGAATTGTCTAGTGGAGATAAAGATATCGACAATCTAATAAAAGAATGCAACAAAATTCATTATTTTTTTCATAATATGTTCGAATGGATTCCTTTTGAAAGATTCACCAACTTTGAATATCTTGGAAAAGGAGGTTTTGGTTCAATTTATAAAGCAATCTGGTTGGATGGACCATATCACAAATGGGATCATGAAGAAAATAAATTTAAACGAAACGGTGAAAGAAAAGTTGTGTTGAAAACATTACACAATTCAATGAAAATTACTCCAGAGTTTATGCACGAGGTAAAGAAGAAATACTCTAAAGTGAAAGTTGTCATTTGTTTTCTAATACAATACGAATTTTCAAAAATAGATTCAGACTGCTTTTAATTGCTCTATTTATATCAATTATTATGGAATAACTAAAAATCCAGTTGCAAATGAATATTCGATGGTGATGGATTATGCAGAAGATGGTGATCTCCGTAAATATATTCATGCCAACTACGAAAAATTGACTTGGGGTCAAAAAGTAGACCATTTATTTTGGATTATCTATGATCTGGTAAAAATTCACGAAAAGAAATTTGTGCATCGTGATTTTCATCCTGGAAATATATTAATAATGAAAAAAGATCCTCACACTGCCGATTTTGGACTTAGCATTCAAGCAAATATACAAAAATCTACTCAAAAAATTAGTGGCGTTCTTCCTTATATGAGTCCTGAGGTGCTAAATGAAAAGCCATACACTAGCGCTGCAGATATTTATAGTTTTGGAATGGTTATGTACGAGATTATAACTGGTGAACCACCATTTGGTGATCGAAGTCATGATCGAAATCTCGTATTAGACATCTATAAAGGAGTACGACCTACGATACCAAACAATGTTCCCGGATGGTGCAAATTTATTATTGAAACATGTTGGGATCCTATTCCAGAAAACAGACCAACTGCTGAGGAACTTAAAGTGTTTATCATATCTATTAACAATGAATATAATACGGGATGGAAACCGAACGCATTGCATTTACAGTACTACAGCTCGTTAGAATATCCTAAAACAGAAGAAGAAATTAAAGAGTGTGTTAAACTAGAGAGACAAAAATTGAAAGAACTTGATGAGGAGATGAAGTCACAAAAAAGCATTCTCGCGAATATAAACAAAAAACAACAAATCCACTCAAATGCAATTTACACCAGTCGAATGTTTACTTCGAAATTAATATCAATTCCAACTGTTACAGGTATGCACATTTATTTTTATATTCAATCAAAATGAATTTCAGATTGATTTTAAATATATCAAACATTTAGGTTCTACAAATGTTAGTTTGTATATTCCAAATAAAGGTAAAACTACTATATTTGCTATAATATATACTGTAAGTTTATATATTGATATTAAAATACTTCTTTCCACATCCACAGATATTGATATAGATATCAATACCAAGTCAACAAACGTCAGTTTATATGTATCAAATGAAGCAGATGAAGGTAAAATTATTAAATTTTCACAATTATTAATATATGCAATTAGTATATGCAATAATATTAATTTAAATATATTATTAAATATTTAGATTATGGATTGTATGTTCTGAATGAAGGTAAAATCATTATTTTCAAAAAAATGCAAAAATCGATATTAAAAATGCTTGTTTACATGTGATATAGACAACACCAAATCAACAAGCGTCAGTTCAAAAGAAAAACTACAAATTCATGATTGTAGCAAATGCACTCGTTGTCAAGAAAACGATCGTTGCAATAAATGTTTTGATTATCACTATCAACTTTATAAAGCTGAATTATCTAGTGAAAACAAGGATATTGACAGTCTAATAAATGAATGCATGAAAATCAGAAGGCATTTCCAATGGATCCCTTTTGAAAAATTTAACAATGTTGAATGTCTTGCAAAAGGCATTTATAAAGCATCACTATACTGTTACAAGTGGGATCATAGAAAAAATCAATTTAAACGATCCAATGAAGATAAACGCGATGTTGTATTGAAATTACGTGATTCAAAGCAAATTATAAGAGAGGTAGGAAATTGTACAATTTTTAATGTAAACAAGACGTGTTTTAATATAGTTAAACAATCCTATAATAGGTTCGGACTACTCTAAAGTATAGTGATGTTTACTTTGGAATAAGTAATTATGGAATAACTAAAAACCCAACTACAGATGAATACTCGATAATAATGGGTTATCCAGAAAAATATAAAATCGACAACTCTGCTACTATCACTTATGACATTCACAAATATATTAGCTCCAACTACGAAGAATTGATTTGGGAAGAAAAATTAAAATACTTATTTTCTATTATCTATGCTATAGAAATTTACGAAAAGGAACTTGTCAATAGTGACTTTCACCCCGGAAATATATTATTACATATTGATGCCTTCATCGCCAATTTTGGTTTTACCGACCCAACAGACATAAAAAATCGAGAAATTTACGGAATACTTCCTTATATGAGTCCAGAGATATTAAGTGGAAAGCCATACACTAAAGCTGCAGATATTTATAGCCTTGGAATGGTTATGTACGAGATTGTAACTGATAAACCACCATTCTGTGAACGAAGTCATGATAAAGATCTCGTATTAGACATTTATAAAGGATTACGACCTACGATACCAAATAATGTTCCCGAATGGTGCAAATTTATTATCGAAAAATGTTGGGATCCTATTCCAGAAAACAGACCAACTACTGAGAATCTTAAGGACTTTATCAGATCTTTCTATGATACATATTGGTGGAAACTGAATACTTTACATTTTCAGTACTACAGCTCGTTAGAATATCCTAAAACAGAAGAAGAAATTAAAGAGTGTGTTAAACTAGAGAGACAAAAATTGAAAGAACTTGATGAGGAGATGAAGTCACAAAAAAGCATTCTCGCGAATATAAACAAAAAACAACAAATCCACTCAAATGCAATTTACACCAGTCGAATGTTTACTTCAAAATTAATATCAATTCCGACTGTTACAGGTATGCACACTTATTTTTATATTCAAACAAAATGAATTTCAAATTGATTTTAAATATATCAAACATTTAGGTTCTACAAGTATTAATTTGTATATTCCAAGTGAAGGTAAACTTACATTGATATCCTTCTTTTATCATTTCCTTGATTTAATATTTTTCTTTGATGATAAAAAACAGATTTCGATGTCAGAATATCACACGAAATTAGTCTTAGACGTGAAGATGATCAATCTGCTTCAAATCCTCCCGCTAAATCACCAGCACCAACAACAATAACCATGGAATGAAGTCTTAAGCGGGCAAGGTAACAATTCTTTTCGATTCTAATGGTGTTGGTTCCACTGCTGCCAAATAAAACGCCAAATGTGCGTATAACGATAAATGCAAACATCATATATATATTAATTTATTTACTAATATCTTATTTTTTTTATTGATATCAGTGCCTGTTAGGATTTAATGCTCCCGTGCGGGAAACAGCCTCACGATTAATTTTTTAATATATATTTTAGCTCGTGGTGGCAAAATATTAAATCCAGATCGAACACTTTCGATATTTTTGTTATTTTTATATTTATAGAAGCAAAATAGCTTTCTATATCAGACAAGCGTTACCCTATTATATCTATCTATTGACCCTTATTATAAATCCCCATTCATAAATAATAATAATTAAATTCAATTATACTTCCAATATATTTCTATG